GGAGAGGTATGACACTCAAGGTCCAATCAGACCACACTGGAACAGGGGTGAGAACCAAGAATGAAATGAAGAGGAAAAGTAAAAATCTGCATATAAAATGATTGGGTACTATCTCTACACCCTGTCATGTGAAGAACCATTCCCCCAGACTTTACCCCTTTACTAGGAGTGGTATATTGTTTAAGTGACATGTAAGTGACATTAGGGAAAACAATAATGCCATAGGGATTCTATGCTCCTCAGTCAATAACCCCCTCTAACAATAACAGAATATCTAATCAACTTTTCCCATTGTGCATCTGTATATATGATCAAATGCCTATGAGTCAAACTCTCAAGAAATTTCAGGCAGTAGTCCTGCCCATCTTTGCTTATGTAGGTGCTCTGTAACACCCACTCTCCCCATCCACAGGGCAATAGACTCCTGCCTGCTGGGACCTCTCTGCACTGACCTCCATCAGCGGAGACCGCTCTCCTCAGGCTGCCCACCTGCAGCCATGCAGGCGTCTCTCAGCAAGCCTGTTCCTTTCAGGCAGCTCCTCCTGCCCACTTGTGCCTTTGCAAGTGTCCTTTACTTTCCTGTCCTTTTCCCTAATAAACCTGCTCTTTAAATTAAAAAAAAATCTTCAAGCAAATAAAAGAGGTCAAAATATCGATTTATGAATTCCCAGTTGTAACTAGTAGGCGCTCCAAAAGAAAACAGAGCAATAAAGGATATCAGAGATGTAAGTCTCCAGACAACCAAAGCCAACAGCACCCATGAAAATAAATGTTTAACAAGAAGAAAAAGGAAAGTCTGACAGTTTCAGAGAGAAAAACAGGGGAGCTAACAGAATGGAGCAGAGGCAGGATGGATGCAATAAAATGCTACAGAAATACTAAATTATGGACTTTCAAATTTAGGATTCTATGTCAGGTTAAAAAATGTGACTTCAGTGAGGCAAATCAGGACAGACTAGTACCTAATGTCTGATTCAACCAAGCACGCCATGGAGGTACAACTAACATACACACAGAGCAGTATGTCTTGGTACTAACATGAAGAAATATGACCAGAATAATCATCATTTAATAATCTACATCGATAATTCTTACTACTTTTTTGAAACCAACAATCTTTCAATTATTGAATCTCCTAATTTGGATTTAATATACTGTCCTTAATAAGAAATGTACTTTCATACATACATGCTTTTTTTCAGAGTACTTCAAATATTATATTTATAAAAATAAACAACTTAAAAATAGTAATTAAGTAAAAATAATAAAAACTTTGCAAATGCTACTTTAATATACATGTAGTATATAGCAAAGACTTACATGATGTTACACTGCTTTTAAACTGTGGCTTTCCTAATGCATGAGTATTGTGATAACGGACCTGAATTTCAGCAATAAAAGAAAAAAAATAGTTTTCTAATGTAAATTTATATATCATAATGAACATATACTTCATTCTCTCATTCATTTTCATTAAAAATAGACTGAGTAGTCTTAATCTAAAGTTGAAACTTCAAGGTTATGCTAGTATTTCATTGTAAAATAATATTTAAAACAAAACATTTAACATTGAAAAAGGTAATAAAGAAATCTTAGCTCATTTAATAATAGTAATTATAACAGTATTAACCACCACCACCAAAACAACAAAAAAACTGTAGTATTTCTCTTCAACAGTAAGTAAATCCCATTAAAACAAAAAGATGAAAAGGAGAGATGATTAAAAAAAGAGAGATGTCAATATCATTTTCACTAAACACCACAGACAAAAATGTTGGTGATTCTCTCAAAAGTAGTCATTCCATGCACTGCCACGGAAAAGATAATTTTGTAACTTTTATAGGAAAAACTTAGATGCACGTAAATTCTTGTCATTACAATATTTTCATTTTCAGGGAATTCTTCATATAGGAATGATGAAAGACATAATACAAGTTTTTGCTATTTATTGAAAGTGTTTTTATTGATGTTGGTAACCAAAACAAGTATAGTTAGTAGGGTGTTATAAAGCTATAGGATGAAATATTATGCCATCATAAATAATCATATAGTAGAAGATTATTTAACATAGAAAATGCTCATGATAAGGTGATATATGGAAAATATAGTTTATAAACTGTATTCACAATGTTGATTGTATATGTTGAATATGTATATAAAAGTGCATTACGTATTACACAACTTGTGAGATAATGGAAACTATTTATTGGCCTCTATTCTCAGTTCACGACAAAGAGCTCCTAAAAACCCTTGAAATTTCCTGGGTGACAGAAATGACTCTCTGGGCTAGGTTCCTGGTTGAGGACTAATCACCAGAAAGACTCATGACTAGAAGCTTGGAATTTTCAAGCTGTCCTCCACTCTCTTAAGGAGAGAGAAAAATGAAAATAGAGTTAGTAATCAATCTTTTCGTGCTTTTCTCATGAGCCCTCCATAAAATCTTTTACCTGTGCATTTTGGAGAGCTCTCAGGTTGCACAGTGAGATAGACGTTCTGCTTTTGTGGCTCAGCTAGATCCATACTATGGACCTCTTCAACTGGCTGTTCATCTGTTTCCTTTATCCTAACTTTTAGTAAATTTCAGTACATACTCCCCTGAGTTCTGGGAAATTAGATGAACCCCACAAGGGTGTCATGGAAATCCCTGATTTACAGCCAACTTAAAGTTACAGGCGAAGTAGGGAATTGCTTGTGAGTGTAATCTAAAGTTGATAGGAGCTGCTTTATGAGATCGAGTCCTTAACTTACAGGGTATGACACTAACTCCAGGTATAGTATTAGAAGTGAACACCCAGCTGGTGTCAAGAGAATTACTTGGTTGGGGTAAATCCCCCCATGTTTGGTAAACAGAAGTGTCAGGCATGTAAAGCTCTATGTAAATAGTAAGGAGACTCACAGGGAAGAGATACACAGCACTGAAATGAAGGAACAGGCAGGAAAAACTGAGGTTTTTTTTTTTTTTTTGAGAAACATACACAAAAAATGGTGAGTAGATATTTAGGGGTGAGTTTTACCCACTAGATTCTCTGGGATTTCCTAATATTTATTTCTAGCTTCAAATATGTATACAAATACTTGTAATTTAAAAAGTCATATTAGTAAAGATAAAACATCAAGGTAAGTCAAGTTTTTGACAAAGTAATAGACCATTGCGGATAAAATGTGCTTCTTGACACAGGAGCCAAATTCAGCTATAAGTAAATCATATCAAAGGCCAAAACACCTCAACAAAATATATGCGTTAGACCACTGTTTTTGGTCCTAAGGAGGAAAAGTTTGAAGTCAAGCTTTGAACATTTTGAAGTATGATTTCATTAGACATCAGAGTTTCTCAAGCTCATGTAAGCACTTGTCTGTGTATTATTTTAATATTACATAAAAATTATTATAATCTATAGCAGTAATATAGAGATTGTAGAAATTAATATCTTACCTCAAAAGTATAATTTGTTAAATAGTGAAGGTCGCTTACATTGAAGAGGCATTTTTTCTCCGTCTGCATTACTTGATGCTTGTTGTCTCCTGTGACCACCAAACGATAGTCACCTTCTGGGCCATTACGTTCTGCAGGACTACTACAAGTCACTCGCACGCTATTCTCTGAAGTTGAAAAAAGTTCCAAGTTTTTGACAGGGCCTGGCTCTATCAAGAAATCAAGACCGGTGCATTACTTCAACCATTTGGTAAATGTATATTTACCTTATATGCATAAATTAGGTAATGGCGATAGCACACACAAGAAGAAGCTGCCTTGAAACCTCCAAAAAGCAAATTGTCTATGCAAACAAATAATAGTCACGTGTGCTCCATTCTTGAAGCCATAAGGGTTCAAGCAATCCCCCAAGGAGGGTGTAGAATTAGAGAAGAAAAAGACAGGCACCAACAGGGACAGAGGAGAAGCAGGGAGGGAAGAGCAGAGCAGGTGACTGGCCCAAGGCCTACGTGCATTGCAAGTCCTCTCTTCTGGAAGTGCTCCCATTATCCTGGTAAGTACCAACCTGACTGGGTTCTTCAGGAGCAGCAACAAGTTCTTTTTTCTGATATCACAGAAATCAGGCAAATACCAGTATCATAAAATTTTAGGATCTGGACTTTCTAAACCATAATCTAAATGGCTTAAAGAGCATGTTATGTCCGGTCTTATAGAAGACAGCTTTTCCTCATGCATCTGGTGCCTGTAGGTATCTGGAGCTGCTGCCATTTACAGGGCACTTCTGCTTCCTGACCTCCTGGAGTCATGCTCACCTCAGAGGCAGATCTAGCATTGGGCCTGGAAACTATGGAGACACTGGGCAAGTGGCAAGAGCCACTGAAAATGAAGCTCTAAGGGAAAATGTGACATAAAACAGAACGATAGGTAGTTGAGTGTAACAAAGAGAAGAAAATGCTAAGGAAATAATTATGTTTTTTGAGATGTTTGTGAGGTGAGCAGAGGTTATCAAGTCAATGCTCGGTGATCAGATTTCTGATTGCACTGAATATTTCTAGATTACAAAGCAAACCGCAAACAAAGCATTTTTATCAAAGTGGGTTGCACATTTAATTGCCTGAAATCTTATATACTGTAATAGTCAATGGCCCTTATGCTTTGTTCTTATGATTCTATTACATTTGAAGGATACAGAGAATACAACCACTTTTTAAATTATTGCATTTTAAATTGTTATAAATCCCAGATTTTAACAAATGTGCCAAGTTAATGTGTCTCCCAAGTGAGGCATGAAGATAGATGCATTATGTGCTAAAAGCTCACATATGGCCCCTGTTCATTCATAGACAGAAGCACTAAAGCATGTCACTTACCAGAAGCTGGTGTGGAAAAATTACATGTGACTTCAGGTCCATCACGCTTCACTCCCCTTCTTCCATATAGGAAAGTAGATAGTGTTACAGTATAGTTTGTGTAAGGCTTCAACTTATTGTAACTATACTCAGTTTCACCCTTTGTTAGGTGGACAATATCTTAAAAAAATGGAAACATTTATTTATTAAATGTCAGAATTACCACACTTTTAATTTGTTCTCTACATAAAATCATTACAAATCAAATGAATGAGAAATACTTATTTTTGGTGCTCAAATGTATGCCCACACAATTACTTACAAATATGCTAAACATGCAATATTAAAAGAAAATATTAAAATATTTTGAAATGTATTTCATATAATTAATTTGTTATACAAAGTACTTTATTAAATTAAGGTACATTTGTGAAGGTCTCTTTCTTGTCTGAGCAAACAGCCTATTGTAGATATTATGAAAGCCTGCAGTTTTGAGGTGTCAGAAATATTACCTTTAATTATGTAAATACAGTTTTATTTTGTTTAAAGATTTATTTATTGATGCATACAAGAGCTGGGGTGTAGGCCAGAGGTGTGGGAGGTGTGCAGATTCACCAGAGACAGAGTGGGGAGCACAACAGGGGCGGGTCTGCTGAAATACACTGCTGAGGGGAGCAGCAGGTGAGACAGGAGAGGTCCGCTGTGCCATGTGGGTCAGCTCTCTGGCCAGGGATTGAACTTGTGCTGCAGTGACAGTGATAGCTTCATAGTGCTGAGATTTAACCCCTTGCACCATCATGGAGGCCCTAAATACAGTATTTAAAAGATTTGTTGATCTAGAAAGCTGCAGCAGCTTTCCAAAGGGAAGAATACCTGAGGGTGAGGGATAATATAACAAGATAGAGAGGGTGACAGTGGACAATGAAGGTGGACAATGGCTGTCCTGGTGCTGGATATGTGTGTGATAAGTTCTGAGAGAGAGAGAGATCTAACATGCAAACAGCAATGTAAACCAATGTTAGCAAAAAAAAAAAAAAAGGAACAAGAAATACTGTTCCACGATTTTCCAACATATACTCTTTCATATAAAATACCCTGCAATAGAGAAAAGAGAGAGAATAGTGGAGAAATAAAACGAGAAATACAGCTAGTGTTTGTGAGCAGACAATTCAGAAAAGAGAAAGCAAAACAATGTGTCCATACAGAAACCAAGCAAAGGGAATTTCCCCTGCAGATTTCTAGTAACACAGAGTCATCTGGCGTCTCATTTTCTTT